TCATGTACATGTACAGTGGATAAAAGTTGTATAAGTCATCATCTGTGTGATCTATAACAGTACTGATCTAGTTAAGAAATTAGCAATGAAGAAGCTACAGTATTTATTATGTGTTATAAATCGAGAACTTAAACTAACTGCTGTTGCAGTATAATAACCCTTTCCAACACTTTGAATTGCATTTTTATTAAAGTGCCCATGCTACCAGTCTGATAAGCAATCCAGATTCCAGAAATCTGGCACCTGTGTCTTGGACAAGCTAAACAGCTCAAGGTCAGTATGACTGCTGTTTTTGAGTAGTCCATTTTGCCAGTCTGCAATTGCAGCCAAAAGAAATCGTGTGCCAAGTGTTGGTTTAACTAAAGTTCCAACTGCCTGATTTGCGATGATATATTGACTGATTTATCACCATGGTTAAAAAAGTGATGGAGTGTTCACAGTACTAAAAATCTGACAAAGTTAACCTTTTTATTCATTTTTTTATTTTGGATTATACATACCGGTACATTTATACATAGAAATAATATATCATATAGAACTTTACAGACAGTTATCATAGTTTGATTGCAGATAATACATGCAGAGATAATGTAGTTATCTGACATTATTAAGGATGCCTGTAGATTGGCAGATTCATCACTGATAAATGATGAGACTTTCCTGACACTGGCCTGAGTGCAGCAGTTCTCCTTTACATTATGTGACACTGAGAACTGATGAAGCCTGGTGACCCATGCTATCAGTCAGACAGCAATCAGTCATCTGTCCCACAGACTTTTATCTATGTTCAGAATCCTTGTAAGTTATGTCAAGCAATTCGAGAAATTAAATATTAGATTTTGTACTGGAGCCCTGTATTTCTCTTTTTCTATACAGTCATTTATCATATTTTCTTTTCTTTCTCCACTCTTTCCCTCCTATCCTTTCTTAAAGCCTATCTAAACCTATCTACCAGTTCTTACAATGTGATGGCTGCATTTGTTTATTTTTTCAGACTTATTCCTTTTATTATCGCCCAGTAATCCTGCAAAAAACACACTTCCTGCCCCTTTATAGCTATAATCACTTTTTTCTTGTATCTATGGAAGGAGCCACCATTATTATCTAGGCTGGACTTAAAGCAGAGCTGAAATTCCACTGTAACAGTGAGTAAGCAGGCTTTTATTGCAGAAGAGACATGCAATGTTCTTGGATATGATTCTATACGCAAATGTATTGCGCTTCTGGTAAGTGCATTCATACAGTGTAGTGGATTGTGATAGACAGTCCACGTTTTTTTTAGATGATCAGTAAAATGACAATTTTATAGTCTTGCTACTTTCTGCTTCTTGCTTTTTAAATTCCTTACTCTCTTAAGAAATCCCTTATCTCGGAGTCACATGCATGGGTATTTCACGGAATACTTTGGACTTTTGCTCATCAATATTTACAAGTGTATCACCATAATAATTTTTTTGGGACTATTCACTATTGTCACTATTAAATATTCCTAGCCACTATTTATCTCATCAACATCCAATGAAGCACCTTATATTTTGTGGTCACTCCAGCGCTAAACCATTTTGCACTTCACCTTTGCATATTGTCATTTTTATAATTTTAAGCGCTGCATTATTTATTTATTTTAGTCTAATAGACTTCAATGGAACCTATGTAATAGACTTCAATGGTTTTGTGCTTTGTGTGACTTTAAGCTGGTTGTGAAGGAGCTGACAGCCGCCGATGTCCTTAACATCCAGTAAACAACATGGTTCTTAAGGAGTGGGCAGCAGTAGAGTCTTTAACAACTGATGAGTCATCAGCTGTCAGTGGGTGTGTGAAAAAATAATCGGTCTGGGGTCCCCACAAAATCCATGCCAGACCCTTATCCGAGCATACAGCCTAGCAGGTCAGAAAAAGGGGGGGGGGAGCGAGCAACCCCCTTCTGAGGCCCCTGTGTCCTTGCCCAAACTCAAAAAAGCCTATGAAAAAGGTACCAGGGGCATCTCATGGGGCCCCCTACTGACTCTGGGCCCTCGAGCAGTGCCCAGGTTTCCAAATGCTCAGTCCACCCCTGCCCACAACACTGGGCTGTGGTTGTGGGGGTCTGCGGGGGGTGATTTTTTGGAATCTGGAAGCCCCCTTAAAGAGGGCCCCCAGATTCTGTCCTCCACCCTGTGTGAATCAGTAGGGGTACATAGTACAAAGTACATAGTACCCCTACTCATTCACCAAAAAAGTGTCCAAAGTGAATAAAAACTCAACAATAGTTTTTTACAAGTTCTTTATTAAAAAAAAACAAAGCAGGGAGAAAAAACAGCCATATAGTAAAGTAAAAGCAGCACATATTACACACATTACACATTGATAGGTACACAATTAACGCCTTGATTGCCCCTAGATGTTAACCCATTCCCAGTGTCATTAGTACAGTGACAGTGTACAGTATTAGTACTGATCACCATAGAAATAATACTTGTCACTTCTGGTTTCTTAGACCATAGAGATGATCTGAGCCATTTCATTCCCCGACCAGCTCTATGGTCAGACAGCGGAACTGCTGGCTGCAATCTCAGGTTTCCCAGGGGGACAGGATAGCCTTCTCACCTCCTGTAAAAGCAATTCAGTGGCTATTTAGCCAAAGTGCTCTTCTGGCTGTAAACAAGATACCAGGTTGATGCCTGCAGCTGCAGGCATCATCCCTGTATAACCACTCAAAGTTGGGCGATGTATGGGTAGGTCACCCAGGGTTAAGTGGTTAAAATAGCGCAGTGCTAAACTGCAAAAAATGCTCTGGTCTTGAAGAGGATAAGACCTTCAGGAGGTCAAGTGGATATACATTGTGGTCCACACTGGATCCATCTGAAGAACTGACAGATGGATCCAGACTGAATGCTCGTGTGGATTGATGAGCTGCAACAGATATTAGATTACAGATTTAGATTTTATAGATACATTTTTGTTTTTAGGCTTACATATGCTTTCATTCTCCCAGCCCTTCCTTATTCGCCCTTTTTTTTTTCCTTCTGCCCTATCTTCCTTCCTTCCTTCCTTTCAATCTCCTTTTATTTCTTACCTCCCTGTGTATCTTCATCATCGTCACTGTCATCACCAGCATCATCATATTTATCTGCTCTACCATGGCAAGAAATTATTATTAGAAATTCTAGAACACTTTATATTATTTTGAGATGGCCTAGGATAAAAATGAACACGTATTCCATCCATAAAGGGTTGAAAAAACAGAGATTCAAACATGAGTCAATGACATTTTTTTGGCATTTAAGTTCTTAGGCTGTATAATAGGTACTCAGCTCAAGCCCTTCATCAGAGGAAATATGTGAACGTGCACAGATTATACAATTTACCTAATGAGCACATCAGTGGCAGTATAGATGAGTGAATAGGGAAACATAATCAGGCCTTTCAAGATCATGTTTTTAAAATCTCACATAGAGTGAATCTGGCAGGACCATCATAGTGCATTGTCTTTGTGGAGTCTGAATGGATGAATGGAGGTTTTTTTTTTTTTTTTTTTGTGACATGAATAATTCTGCATTTTTCTGATATAAAGAGCTGGTAAAATCACTTGGATACAACACTCTATTTACATGCCTAAAATAAAACCTTTTACAAATAAATAGTACCAGCTTTGAACAGAATCTTTTGTTTGTGTTTGTCCTGAGGGTGTGATCTATGTCATGTTGATGTAACAATTTAATACATTAATGCAGTAAGTGCTCACAAAAGCTAGGCGGATTTATTCAATTAAAAGCTACTTAAAATCACTGCTAGACAGCAGGTGACAATATAAAAACAGATTTAAAGTTCTCTTTAAAAATAATATAATTTTTTATTGTCCTGTATTATTCCATGATGCTTCCATGATACAGTAGTTGTTTGCACTGTTCTGCTGTACATATAGGATGATGTAGTGGAGGGAGTAGATGTGAAACATAGTTTAGGAGGGTGTTAGGTGGCAACCTATTGTAAATGCCTATTAAGGCTTGGTTTACACTAGTGCGGGTAGAAGCTGCTGTGGGACCCACACTTCATCCCGCAGCTGCAACCACCCGCACACAATACATGGGACCTGCGGGCGAGTGCCATTAATTATAAAGGCATGCCGCTAGCCCTGGAAATCGCACCCACACTGGGAACCGCACTGTAGTGTGTTCCCTGTGGAGGTTGCAATTTCTGGAAGGATCCAGGGACCTTTTCCTTGTGTTTTGTGAGGCACGGCAGCCCACAAAATGGCACTAGTGTGAACCAAGAGTAAGTGATCTCCTATTGTAAGAAGGCACCTGTAGAAAAAAAAATATTTTGTAACTAGCAGTGGGCTGTACATAATAAGCAAAATATGTACACTATACTTCTTCATAGAAACAAATTGTATATACCTCACATTTCATCATTATTATTTTCAGTATCTCCCAACCAGGGTTGCCAACCATCAGTAAATTTGTGGACAGTTTGTAAAAATCAACTGTATGGAAATATCAGGGGCTGATAATTTGTCATGCTGTGTTGACTTTTTAAGTGTAAACCAGGCAAGTTACTTGTTATGGGTATTGTCAGTGTTTCCATATTGTGTTTACCTGCTAGCCTACAGGGCACTTATACCCCCTTCCTGCCCAGGCCAATTTTCAGCTTTCAGCGCTGTCACGCTTTAAGTGATAATTGCACAGTCATGCAACACTGTGCCCATATGACATTTTTATCATTTTTTTTGAGACAGAGCTTTCTTTTGGTGGTATTTAATCACCTCTGGGTTTTTTATTTTTTTGCTATACAAACCAAAAACAACTTAAAAATTTGAAAAAAAAAAATTTTTCTTAGTTTTTTGTTATAAAATTTTTTAAATAAGTGATTTTTCTCCTTCACTGATGCGTGCTAATGAGGCTGCAGTGAAGGGCACTGATAGGCTGCACTGATGGGCACTAATATGTGGCACTGATGGGCACTGATGAGGAGGTACTGGTAGGTGGCACTAATGGGCATTGGCAGGCATCACTGATGGGCACTGAAAGGCAGCACTCATATATGGCACTGATAGGTGGCACTGATAGGCAGCACTGACTGGCACTTTTAGACAGCACTGACGGCACTGATGTGCACTGATAGGTGTCACTGACTGGCACTGATAGACGGCACTGACTGGCACTGATAGATGGCATTGATAGGTGGCACTGGTAAGTGACACTGAAAGGCAGCTCAGATGGGCACTGATATGTGGTATTGATGTGCACTGGTAGGCATTGATATGTGGCATTGATGTGGCACTGATGGGCACTGGCAGGTTTCATTGATGAACACTGACAGCTGGCATTGTTGGACACTGACAGGTGGCACTGCTGGGGCTACACTGATCTACAGGGCACTCTGAGGAATGCTGATTACCGGCTCTCCTCTCATCACGAGCTGTCAGCATGACAGCTCATGAGGAGAGAAATGCCGATAACCGGCATTTCACTATTTACATGTGATCAGCTGTGATTGGACACAGCTGATCACATGACCGAGCCGACGTCTTCGGCTCTTTCCATTGATCGGTGATCCGCTGTGTCCGAGGGACACAGCGCACCACCGATTGCCGCGCTGTGCACCCCCGGAGCCATGCGCGAGCGGTTAGAGTGGGAGGACGTGGGTGGAGCCCTGAACTCTTAGGGAGTGGGTTGAATGACACTGGGTGTCACTTGACCCAGAAAAAGAGCTGTGCTTGATCACAGATCAGAGAATCATCAGGGGACAACATCAGAAAGGAGGTCATTATGCAGGCAAATCTGCTTTTACATAAAAGTGCAGACTGGCATTTAAAAAAAATAAAAAGCTTGAGTTTGGTTATTACTACTTCTACTACTAATGGAATATTCCTGGGTCTTTAAGTTTATATGTTTATGTGTTATATTTAACCATTTTGTATGAAGCCTTCATTTCCACATACTGTAAATTATGATATAGGGTACTCATTTAAAGGAGAACTATGGGAAGTAAAAAAAAAAAAAAAAACAAACATGCATACTGTTCCTTTGCATACATACTTACCTACAGTATATGGTTGCAGCATTGCTCTAATGTCCCCCTTTGACTCTAAGCTCGAGAACTGAGCGATCAGTGCCTGCCAGTCAGCAGCTCTCTGCTCTGCCCCTCCAGCACTCACTGGAACAATGGACTGTGTAGGTGCAGGAGCAGCTGGCTCAGGCTTATACATTAACCAATTTTGTTTCATTCAAACACAGGTTCAAGGAAAGAAAATCAGTCGATTCCCCATGAACACATTCAGTGTTAAAGGAGGGAATCCCTCCTGTGGAGCCAGGGGCGGACTGACAGCTCATGGGGCCCCGGGGCAATAGGAGATCATGGGGCCCCTGTGTCCTTGCCCACACTCAAAGTACACCCAAAAAAGCATATAAAAGGTACCAGGGGCATTTCATGGGGCCCCCTACTGACCCCGGGCCCTCGGGCAGTGCCCGAATGCTCGAATGGTCAGTCCGCCCCTGTGTGGAGCTATTGTAATATGGCAGTGGGAGGTTTCACAGCCTTTAGTACACAATGGTCATACATACTAGGTGGTGTACAACTGGGGGAATCAATGGTGGAGAAGGATCTGGGAGTTCCGGTAGATCACAAGCAGGGGCGGACTGACCATTTGGAAACTCGGGCACTGCCCGAGGGCCCGGGGTCAGTAGGGGGCCACATGAGATGTCCCTGGTACCTTTTTTCATAGGCTTTTTTGAGTTTGGGCAAGGACACAGGGGCCCCATGATCCCCTATTGCCCGGAGGCCCCATGAGTTGTCAGTCTGCCCCTGATCACAAGCTTAAAAACGGCATGCAATGCCAAGCTGCGGTTTCTACAGTGAGCAAAATCCTCTCTTGTATTAAAAGAGGTATAGACTCCAGAGAGAGAGAGATATCATTTTACCCCTGTACAAATCATTAGTAAGACCTCATCTGGAATACGCAGTTCAGTTTTGGGCACCAATTCACAAAAAGAACATTGGGGAACTGGAGAAAGTACAGAGAAGGGTAACCAAACTGATAAGAGTCATGGAGAAGCTCAGCTATGAGGAAAGATTAGAGGAACTGAATATATTCTCTCTTGAGAAGAGGAGATTAAGGGGGGATATTATCAACATATATAAATACATCAGTGGTTCATATAGTGAACTCGGTGTAGAGCTATTCACCCTGAGGTCATCACAGAGGAAAAGGGGGGTACTCTTTATGTCTGGAGGAAAAGAAATTTAATCTCCACAACACGGAAAGGTTTCTTCACAGTGAGAGCTGTGAAAATGTGGAGTAGACTCCCTCAAGAGTTGGTTCTGGCCAGCTCAGTGGATTGCTTTAAAAAAGTACTGGATTCTTTCCTAGATACTCAGAATATAACTGCATACTAATATTTATAGGTAAAGTTGCCTCCCGGGGGAACAGGAAGGAATTTTTTTTCCTGCAGGAGCAAATTGGATCATGCTTTGCTGGGGTTTTCTCCTTCCTCTGGATCAACTCTGGTTATAGGATAACTTTTTTTTTTTTTTTTTTTAATGGTTGAACTGGTTGGACTTTTATCTTTTTTCAGCCAGACTAACTATGTAACTACTTGTGGCTATAGCCGGCTGCAGTAATCGAAGGAAAATAAACCATAGACTGGTTGTACTGAAGTTGATCGATAGATGAACTTGAGTACAACCAGCCTGCTCATACATGGATCAAAATTTGGCCAGTTCCTGCTGAACTGGCCAAATTTTGATACGTATATGGCCATTTTACCTGGCAGCATATTTTGAGTTATTATTTTTACTTCAAATGTAATTTGATGTCACTGCTATTTTTACAACTGGAATCAGATTTCCATTGTTCTATTACATATTCAGGTGAGTAAAATCTCATACTTGTTGCTATATGTACAGTATATGAGGGGTGCTATCTATCTAGCTATTGCGGGACTCTGCAGCACACTGGTAAACTTATAGACAATAATATTGGTAAATTTGATTAGCCCTGTACTCAAGCAAATATACTTTTCTTTCATAACTCTAATGATATTCCTCTAATTCATTACTAAATATATTGTATATATATTTTTGAAAGCAAAGTGGATCTAAAGGCAAATAATAAAACATACAGTTGAAATATATTTGTTTACTGTTTTATCTGCCAAAGAATTTGTAATTCTGTTTAGTCAATCTTGTTATTCTCACACATCTTTTGGCAGGTAAAATATTAAACATGTATACATTTCAACAGTATGCTCAGCTGTTTGTCTTGACATTTAATTTAATGCTTCCATCAAAAAATAAAAAGTAAATTTTTAGAGTTATGAGTTGGTGAGATTACATTAGGTGTGCTAACCAAATAAAAAGTGTATTTACTTCAGCACAGTGTTGACTAGAGTCATCAAAATTATTGGCAAAATGACTGAACATTATGATGAGCCTAGTCATAAATATCACCATATTATTTTACTGACTTGCTGGCTTCCTGGAAAGTAGTAATGCACCCTCGCATTGCCAATTAATCTGTCAGCCAGACATTCCAGTCGGATAGGTGAATATAAGCAAAGGAGCAGGAAAGGTGGCTGCACATCAATGACCATGGCCATATTAGGTAATCGCATCAGCCACCATCCCCACCATTTTGTTCCCATTCATCTGTCAGCTAGGGAGTTGTCATTCATGGCAAGTAGTAGTGGTAGATCTTCTAGAAGGTCGGCATGTCTTTTCTTTTGGTGGGTCAGTGGACATTATTCATCGTGAATAACGAAGTTCCGCATCTCTGGACAATGAGATCGATTTACATTAATGGACTTTTTGGACACCATTATTGGACACCATAGTGTGTAGTGTGTTTGTTTGCTTTTTTACCTTTTTTGTGAATAAGTACGGTACTATTCACATAGGGAGGGCTGGTATTTTAGGAGGTTTCCAGATTCAAGAAAACCCCTTGACTGCAGAACACCGAACTGACTAAAAAAAAAGGTGTGGGCCCCCCTAAAGGTCTCCCCAAAATACATACCAGACCCTTAAAGTGGTCTGGTATGGTGTATCACTTCACAGGCAGCTTCAGGGCATCTCCCCATCATGTTACTTAGAGAAATTGGGCATTTTTAATGTTTTACTTGAAGCATTACTAAAATCCTGCTCCCTACCAAACTGTAATATTATTTTTTTTGTTTGCATTAATACATGTCCTCAAGGGCAGTGCTCATCCTCTGATGCCTTTTATTAGACAACCCCATGCTTATTATCTTTAAAATGGCTAGAGCTGATTTTAAAGACTTGGCTTCCATTGACTTCAGTGGGATTCTGATTACCATTCGGAACATCAGTACAGTTTGAACAACCTTCCCTGAACCGAACCCAGATATGTATGGCTCATCCCTACTAAAGAGGCATATGATGTTTCTGCCAGGATTGGACTTAGTGGGTACCACTAAACTACTATAGGGGGGCAATCCCTGGCACCTCTTAATAGAGCAAACAATTTACTATCTGTTATCTTTTATCCCTGGCCAAAGCTTCTGTCAGTCTATCGCTACTATAGGAAGGATATACTGTAGTGCAAGAGAGAGCACATCCTGTTCTCTCAGCTCTCTCCTCCTCTGTCTTCTTTTAGAGATTATACATGCCTGGAAGAACAAGGTACCTGCTGCTATAACGTGTATTGTTACAGTTGTCTATGTAGTACCATTTTTATCTGTGTAACACTACAACTGCCAGTGCATTGTAGCTCATGCAGCTAGAATGACTGCCAAAGCCCCAGTAGCACAAGTGTTGCTACAGCTGCCCTTGTAGTGCTTCAATTGTCTATGTATTGCCACAGCTTTCAGTCCATTGTCAGAGCTGCCCTTTGTAGTGCCATCTCTTCCAATGTATTATCACAAACGTCTATATTTTGCCATAGTTTCATTCTGTAGGGCTCCTTGTATAGGTGTGTTACCAAGGAAGAGCTGTTTGTTTTGATGGCATATTGCCACAGTTAAAGAATGTGTAAACCCAATCACTAACATCTTATATAGGTTTTAACATGTTATGATTTCAGAAGTATTTTTTTAATTACAGCTTTTGTGAAAAAAATACCTGGTGGGCCTGCCATAGAGGGACATTGTTGAGACACTTCCTGTTCTAGAGTGACAACATTCTGCACCTTTCTTCCAATTGTGCTACTGCATAGTTGTATGGGCTTCTGATGGAGACTACCAGTGTCTGTTCCCTACACAAGCACATTCCCCTGCTTTCACCATCAGGAAACTTATTCTGAGAGATGACTTGTAGATATTCCTAGGGTGAGTGCATTTAAACAGGAAGTAGCTACAAATAGGTTGCAGATTAGCAGACAGAGATACAACGAAGGATGAAAAAAAAAATTGTTACCGACACAATATTATTTATCAAACTAAATGTCATTCAGTTAGGATGTAAATATAGGTTCAAATGGAACTAGTTAAGAAGCATCTACCTCTTCTCCAGCAGCACATTGAAAGCTCCCTCAGCAATGTCAACATCTTCACTCTTTCTTTCTGTATAGGGTCTTCAGCCATCTTGATTGGTTGGCACTGGATAATCCAATTCCCATGCATGTGCACAGA